ATATTTATTTAGGTATATGAGCCTCTAGTTCAATCAATAATAAATTGTTATTATCATATATTTAAACATAAACCTAAACCTGCTAAGATAGGGGACAGAATAATAAGAGCAAAAAGGATTTCTCCTCCTTCCTTAGGGGTAAGTAACTCCTTATTAGGTGTCTCCTTTTATGTCTCCTTTTTTCTGCTTCTTTTTATCTATTTATTTATCTATTTATTATTAGTATTATTAGTAATAGTATTAGTTATATATATATATACCTGCTAAGATAGGGGACAGAATAATAAGAGCAAAAAGGATTTCTCCTCCTTCCTTAGGGGTAAGTATAAGTGTCTCCTTATTAGGTGTCTCCTTATTATGTGTCTCCTTTTTTCTGCTTCTTTTTATCTATTTATTTATCTATTTATTATTAGTATTAGTAATAGTATTAGTTATATATATATATATATACCTACTAAGATAAGAGACAGAATAATAAGAGCAAAAAGGATCTCTCCTCCTTCCTTAGGGGTACGTATCTCTTTTTTTGTCTCCTTTTTGTCTCCTTATTATGTGTCTCCTTTTTTCTGCTTCTTTTTATGTATTTATTTATCTATTTATTATTAGTATTAGTAATAGTATTAGTATTAGTAGTTATATATATATATACCTAATAAGATAAGATACATAATTATATAAGAGAAAAAAAGAATGTCTGTCCTCTCCTTCCTTAGGGATAAGAATAAGTGTCTCCTTTTTTGTCTCCTTTTTGTCTCCTTATTATGTGTCTCCTTTTTTCTGCTTTTTTTTATCTATTTATTTATTTATTTATTTATTTATTTATTTATTTATTTATTATTAGTAATAGTATTAGTATTAATACTATTAGTAGTTGTCCTCTCCTTCCTTAGGGGTAACAATAAGTGTCTCCTTTTTATTTATTTATTTATTTATTTATTTATTTATTATATTTATTTATTTATTTATTTATTTATTTATTTATTTATTTATTTATTTATTAGTATTAGTAATAGTTAGATAGGAGACATAAGAGAAAAAAGAATGTCTGTCCTCTCCTTCCTTAGGGATAAGAATAAGTGTCTCCTTTTTTGTCTCCTTTTTTTTATTAATTAATTAATTAATTAATTAATTAATTAATTAATTAATTAATTAATTAATTGTTTTATTTGCTGCTGCTGTTGCTGCTGCAGGTAAAGAGGGAATTAGATTCTTTGTTGAGGGAGTTTGGCAGCAAAAGGAGACAGGAGAGCAGCAGCAGCAGCAGCACCAGCAGCAGCACCAGCAGCAGCAGCAGCAGCAGCAACTGTAGCAGCAGCAGCAACTGCAGCACCATATCTGCTGCTGCTGATGAATTAAGCTATTGGCGTGGAGATAAGCAGCAGCTGCAGCAACTGCAGAAACTACAACAGCAGCAGCAGCAGCAACTACAACAGCAACAGCAGCAAATACAGCAGCAACTACAGCAGCAACAGAGGCGGCAGCAGCAGCAGCAGCAGCAGCAGCAGCAATTATTACACCATATGCAGGAAGAAACTCTCCAGGCTCATGAGGAACAGCAGCAACAGTTGCAGCAACAACAGCACCAGCAGCAGCTGCTGCAGCAACACCACTATCACCACCACCAGCAGCAGCAGCAGCAGCAGCAGCTTCTGGAGCAGCAAATCCTGCAGCAGCAGCAGCAGCAGCAGCAGCAGCAGCAATGTATAGGAAATTTAGAGTGTATGTATACTCCAATGGATGTAATACAATCACAGCATACAGCAGCAGCAGCTGCTGCTGCTGCAGCAGCTGGTTCAGCAGCAGCAGATGCTGCTGCTACAGGTACACCAGAAGTAACTGCAGCAGCAGCAGTAGCAGCAGCAGCAGCAAACGATTTTTGTGTCCATAGTGCTGCTACCTATCTACCAAGTCAGCAGCATGACTTATTTAGCTGCAGCATTCCTACAGCAGCAACTGCAACTGCTGCTGCTGCTGCTGCTGCACCTGCAGCAGCAGCACCCCCACCATCAATAGTAACAGATATCTCTGAGCAGCAGCAGCAGCTGCTGCACTCAGCCATTTCTGCTGTAACCATTGACATTCATGAGAAGCAGCAGCAGCAGCAGCAGCAGCATTTGCAGCAGCATTTGCAGCAGCAGCATTTGCAGCAGCAGCAACAACAGCAGCAGCAGCAGCAGCAGCAAGTTGAACCGGATACGGACCGCAGCGGGGACAGCAGCAACATTGATTGTTTGGTGAATCGTCTCTTGTGCTGCACAGAAGATACACAGCAGCAGCAGCAACAGCAGCAGCAGCAACCGCAGCAGCAGCAGGAGCTCGTGGAGCAGCAGCAGCAGCAGCAACAGCAGCAGAAAACAGCAAACTTGCTGCAGCAGCTATGGACGTGCATGCAGCCCCAGTCACCTGCATTAAATGCTGCACAGATGCAGCAGCTAATGCAGCAGGTATCTAGTATATTTAATACCCTTAGCAGCAAGCAGCAGCAGCAGGAGCTGCAGCAGCAGGAGCTGCAGCAGCAACTGCAGCAGCAGCTGCTCCAGCAGCAGCAGCAGCAGCAGCAGCAGCAGCAGGAGCAGCTGGAGCAGCAAGGGGGTGGCACCCCCAGCACGGTCGAAGATATTCCCTCTGATTGCTTTATACAGCAGCAGCAGCAACAGCAGCAGCAACAACAGCAGCAGCAGCAGCAGCAGCAGCAGCAAAAGTGCCATATGTCTGTGTGCCACATGGTACCAGAGGAGCAGCAGGAGTTGCTGCAGCAGCAGAGGCTACAGCAACAAGCACTGCAGCACCATCGGCTACATCAGCAACAGTTGCAGCAGCAACAGTTGCAGCACCAACAGCTGCAGCAGCAACAGTTGCAGCAGCAACAGCTGCAGCAGCAACAGTTGCAGCAGCAACAGTTGCAGCACCAACAGCTGCAGCAGCAACAGTTGCAGCAGCAACAGTTGCAGCAGCAACAATTGCAGCAGCAACAGCTGCAGCAGCAACAGTTGCAGCAGCAACAGCTGCAGCAGCAACAGCTGCAGCAGCAACAGCTGCAGCAGCAACAGCTGCAGCAGCAACAGTTGCAACAGCAACAGTTGCAGCAGCAGAGGCTGCAGCAGGAAGCGCTGCAGCATCAAGGGGTGCAGCAGCAAGAGTTGCAGCAGCAGAGGCTGCAGCAGCAAGAGTTGGAGCAGCAACAGCTGCAGCAGCAACAGTTGCAGCAGCAAGAGTTGGAGCAGCACGGGCTGCAGCAGAGACAGCAGCAGCAGCGGCTGCAGCAGCAGGAGTTGCAGCAGCAAGTGTTACAGCAGCAGAGGCAGCAGCACATGCTGCAGCAGCAAGGTATGCTGCAGCAGCAAGGTATGCTGCAGCAGCAAGTGTTGCAGCAGCAAGGGATGCAGCAGCAAGTGTTGCAGCACCACGATATGCAGCAGCACTTGCTGCAGCAGCAGCAACAGCAGCAAATGCAGCAGCAGCAGCAGCACTACACCCCACAAGGATTGATTCCCTCAATGCATGCTGCTGCTGTTGCTGCTGCTGCTGAGCCGCTGCAGCTGTTGGGGCATCCGCAGCAGCAGATGCAGCAGCAGATGCAGCAGCAAATACAGCATCAGCAGCAAATGCAGCAGCAGCAGCAACAACTGCAGCAGCAGCAACAACACATGCAACAGCAGCAGCAGCACATGCAGCATCAGCAGCAGCAATTACAGCAGCAGCTGTCGCAGCTGCAACAGCAGGAGATGCTGCAGCAGCAGCAACAAGAGCTGCTGCAGCAGCAGCAGCAACAAGAACTGCAGCAGCAGCAGCAGCACAGTGCAGCACTGATGCTTCACCCCTCCGTCGCGACGCCGTGCCATAGTTACTCACAAGTGCAGCAGCAGCAGCAGCAGCAGCAGCATATGCAGCAGCAGGAGCAGCAGCAGCAGCTCATGCAGCAGCAGCAACAGCTCATGCAGCAACAGCAACAACACATGCAGCAGCAGCAACAACACATGCAGCAGCAGCAACAACACATGCAGCAGCAGCAACAGCACATGCAGCAGCAGCAGCACATGCAGCAGCAGCAGCAGCAGCAGCACGAGTGGATCAATGGAACTTTGCAGGTGAGCGGTTTGACGCATCCAGCGTGCAGCAGCAGCTGCTGCTGCAGCAGCTGCAGCAGCATGAGCTGCAGCAGCATGAATTGCTGCAGCAGCAGCAGCAGCAGCAGCAGCAACCCATGGGGGCTGTCATGCGATCATACAGCACTAAGTCAAGATAGAGAAGTAGCAGCAGCAACAGCCTCATCTACAGCAGCATCTGCTGCTGCAGCATCTGCTGCTGCTGCTGCTGCTGCTGCTGCGGCCGCTGCTGCTGCGGCTGCAGCAGGGCCCCACAAGTTGGTGGGTATCGTAGCTCCAGTGCCCTATGGGTCACTGCAGCAGCAACAGCAGCAACAGCAGCAGCAGCAGCAAATGCATGCATTAGTTGATTAGGAGTACCGCTTTAATTAATTAGGGTGTACGTACACCTAGAGGTGCCTATACACCCCAATTAATTTATTTTCTTTTTTTTCTTTTATTATAAATATATATATACAGTATATATATAAACTATTTTTATTTATTATTTAATTTATTTATTTAATTAAATAAATAATAAATAATAAATAAATTAAATTAAATTAATTATTTATTAATAAAAAAAATAATACAAAAAAAATGCTGCTGCTGCTGCTGCTGCTGTTGCTGCTGATGGTGCCGGTACACCGGAAATGCATGCAAAAACAGCCCCAAGGTGCTGCTGCTGCAGGCTGCAGCAGCAGCAGCAGCAGGAGAACTGCTGCTGCTGTATTATATAAAAGAAGCAAAAGTAATTAATAAATTAATTAATTAAATAAATATAAATAAAAAGGATAAGAAGAATAATACATAAAAAAGAGTCTTATTGAACAGTAAGGCTACGTGCTGCTGCTGTTGCTGCTGCTGCTGCTACTGCTGCTGCTGTTGCTGCTGCTGCTGCTGCTGCTGTTGTCT